TCCCCAACTGAGGTGATCTCATTCCCTGCTGCAGAGATGGCTGGCTACTGCTTCCCTGATCAGTGGGGTGGGCAGTCAGGTGCCGACGGTTCTTGGAGACCTGCAGATTGACTGCAAAGCTGGATCAGCTTCCTCCCTCCCCATCCACCCAAGAGAGGCACAGAATGATGAGTTGTTCTTCGGCAGCAACACAGGACCAGACACCCTGCGAGGTGGTTCAGAATTCCTTGGATTGTAATACCCATCTGGGGAGTGTGGGGACTGTGGAAGCCTCAGCCCAGACTCTGACAAGCTGCTGACACAGCCTTTTGCACCAGATGGACCCCAGAGCCATCCACACATTGTTTCTTCATGGAAAAAAATTTAAACTGCCCAGAGAAAGAGAGAGTAGGGGGGAGGAAAGGGTAAGAAAGCAGATTCCCAGCAGCCTGAGAGCCCTGCACAGGAAGTGAAGAGGAGTTCTGTATCCGGAGAGGATCCCTGGGGTCACCTCCCCTGAACTGCTCATCCTGGCTTGGCCCTCCCTAGCTTACTGTCTAAAGCTTTCTCAGCTGCTGAGGTAGTGAGTATGAGGTTTTAAGGGAGAGACCTGGGATTAACAGGATTCCCACAGGAAAGGTGGGAAATGAGAAAAAGTTTTGGGAGCTGAGATCTGAGTTACTTTGACAAAGAGGGAGGTTGAGGGTTGACAGCATTATTCCAAAGAGAGTCATCATTTGCCATAGGGGACGCTCAGGGTAGTCGGAGGAAAGGACACCCATGCTCATTCTTCGGGCCATCCTGTTCTCTGGGGCTTGGTGTGAACACATGTCAGGGATCGAGGCATAGCATTGTTGGGGGGGGATGGGGTGGCCAAGAGGTAGATGCTGAGGCAAGTCAGAGGAAGAGGGAGGAGACTTGGAATCTGCTAGAGCACGATATTGATTCAGCAGAGACTGGGGTGGTGTGCTATGGTTCACTACCAGCTTTCTAGGGGTGAATAATTCATATTGGTTTAGCAATTCAGCAACACTGAATATTGCAGGCAAAGTAAATAGCTCTGGGCTGGATCCATTCAATTAAAAGTCCCTAAGCAGTGGCTAGTGGGACTTCATTTCATTAGGCTACCCTGAAGTCACTCATCCCTGGGTGTCTGCCCTTGACTGCAGTGGGAACTGGATGGGACAGTAGGGGCAACCACTCCTCCTATGCAGGCCAGGCCCTATGGAGGGGTAGTATCCTGGCCTCTCCTTTCTCCATGATCAGCCACTTCACCTCAGACATCTGTCTATTGATAGAAAAAGACAAGGCATATCCTGCCTGGAAAAATCTTCATTCAGATGGGATTTTTATCCCAGTGCCTCTCCTGTTTCTAACCCTGATACCACCAAGTTCAGTTCCACAGACCCTAGAGACTTTAAGACAGGCTTGAAGACTTTAAGACTTCAGCCTTGAGGCCACGTATGGCCCTTAGATTGAATCCAAACTTCATAGAACAAATCCCCTTACTGAAAGTATTTGTTCTGTGAAGTCTGGGTTCAGTCAAAAGGCCGCACCCGGGGACCTAGAAGGCCATATGTGGCCTCAAGGCCACAGGTTCCCCACCGCTGCTTTAAGAGAAACCTCAGACATCTGAGCCAGATCCTGGTTTAACTCTTGAATGAAGATGAGAATCACTATGGCCCCATGGAAAAATCCTGGGTCTGGGAGTCAAGAGACCTAAATTGTACTCTCAGCTCTGCCACTAGGAGAAAACCTGTTTCTCCCTACTCCATGCTCCCCATTCCCTGCCCCTCTGCGGGGGGGGGGGGGGGGCATGGATGTGGAACATTGTGTATGACATCAGAATTTTTCAATGCGTTGATTGGTTTTGCTATACTTTTTTTCTCCCTTTTCTTCCTTTTTATATTCTTTGTTATAAGTGATGGTTCTCTGGGAAGGATATAAAACAAAAGATATCAATAAAAACCTTTTTTATTTTTTAAAGAAAATTAGCCCTGCCACTAACTTGCTGTGTAACTTTGAGCAAGTCATGCTACTTCCCTGGGCTTTAGTAATCCCACCTCTAAAATAGGGATAACAATCCCTGCCTAACCTCTCTCACAGGATTGCCTTGAGAATCAGGTAAGATAATGGATGCATAAGTGCTCTGCAAAGTGCCCTACAGATGTGAAGGGCTATCGCATTACTAAGATGGTAATGGGCACTCCACAGTCTTCCCTTGTGACTCAGTAACTCTGATGAGGGGAACCCAGCCCTGGAAATGTTCTGGGTCCAGGATAGAGACAGAAAGGGAAGCCTCTACATGAGCTTCATTAACCCCACTCTGTGTCTGTCCCTGTAGCAGTGGACACTCATGTACACAGGATCGCCAACAGATTGAAGTGGACCAAGAAGGAGACCAAGTACCCTGAAGAAACCAGAGCTGCCCTGGAGGAGTGGCTGCCAAGGTTTGTGGAGGCAGGAGCTGGCCTCAACCCCAGGAGGAGCCAAATTCATTCTGATTTCTCCAGTTGAGTGCTACAATTTCCTGTAGCACTCAACCTTCAAACTCAGTGATGGGTATGAGCAAGGAGAGTTACTTCAAAGGCCTTGGTCCTCCCTACCCCCAGTGGGCCAGAATACAGCTAGCCTGAAGGGAGAGGCCAGGCTGGACCATCTGCTTCAGCCTAGGGAAAGGACGCATGGGTGGGGGAAAAGGGGCAAGGCTCACTCTAATCTCATCCCTGCTGGCCCACATGCTACACTATAGAATCTGTTCTTTTTTTCTCCTTCTAGGCAGCTGTGGAAGGAGATTAACTGGCTGTTGGTAGGCTTTGGCCAGCAGACCTGCCTGCCAGTGAACCCTCGGTGTGGGGACTGCCTCAACCGAGGCTTCTGCCCAGCAGCACAGAGGTCTTGAAAAAGACTGCAGCAAAGATCCCTCTAGTGTGGTGGTATGGGGATCGGATGGAGAGCCAGCTGATGTTGGAACTCCCATTGAGCGCCTAAGACTTGTACCCACATTGGGACTGTTTAATAAAGTTTGATATTCTTTTGTGATTGGAAATATAGCTTACTTCAGTCCACGAGGGGGCCAGGAACTGAGGCTGAGCCAGGGAGAGAGATCAGCTGGGAGCTGCTGGCTGAGGAGAAAGGAAATCTCAGGAAACCTCAGTTGGAATAGAGGGGACTGAGGCCAACTTTTGGCTTTGGGGGCATCAGCATCCCCTTCTGTTTCCACTATACCCCAATGAAGATAAGTGAGTTGGTGACTTCTAGGAAGGGTCTATGTGTGATGATTTCTGTGTTGAAGAGGGGACACACAGAAAAGCAGAGCAAGTGAGCACATGGGCCAACTAGCAAGTGAGGAAGTTGGGAAATAGGGCTAAGGCTAGCTTCTGGGAAGGCTGTTTGGACAGATTCCCATGGGACCCCCAGCAGCATGGTCTAAGGGGCCAGAAGCAAACCCCCATGTTATCTTTCCCTCCAGCTGACTGGGCCAAACTCCACCCTGACCCAGCTGAAATGATTTCCCCCAGGCTTCCAAGAGCTGGACCTTCCTACTCAGAAGTTAAGATCATAGATAGATCTCAAACTGGGCAGGACCTTAACTGTCTAGTTCAATCCCTTTATTTTACAGATGAGCAAACATAGTCCCTGAGAAGCAAAAAGATTTGTCCAGGGTCCAAGGGGTCATGAATAGCAGATTCAGAATTTGGACCCAAGTTTTCTGACTCCAAACCAAGTATTTTCTACTGTACCATAAGGTCAGAGGGCTCCTTGGGGAAACCCATGTAGTCCTTGGGCCCTTCCTTGTGAGTTAAAACATTTACCCACTTCTTTTTTGTCTGGAGTTCAACACCCTGGCAGGTTAAGAAAGAGAAAAAAAAGACCAGCAGGCATGGTTGGCCACACTTGCCTGGGGCTGAGTTGCCACTGGAGGGAAGAACTGCTCAGCCCCTGCTTTCTTATTGCATTGTCTCAGAACTCCAAGCCACAGCAGCTCGGTGAGCCAGGGTCCTCCTCTCCCCCTCCAGAATCGGAGAACACCCAAGGGGAGCTGCTTGAAGTCTGGCCCTCACCCCAAGTGGATGTGGTCTGGGTCGTATGATAACAAACCAAGCCTTTTTTCCAGCTTAGCAGCTTATCTTTACTGTACATGGCAATTCCAAGTTTATTATTGATGTTAACAGTGCACATTACAGCTTACAATGCTGACAGCTTATACTCGCATTGGTTTTCAAGGTAAGTGGAGGGAGGAGAAAGAAAGAAGAGTTATTACTATCATACTACAAGAAAGAGATAGGTGATCTAGGGTGCACTATCAGTGGACAGCTTAATTTTGCATTTGCAATCGTGCATACCTGATTTCAGCTGAGTAGCAACCTTGGTTCTGCCTTCCCCACCGTAACTGCCCCCACAAACCTTCTCCTGAGGTCTACAAGTGAGGGTGTGCCCACCAGGTTTGGCCCTTACACAGGAGATGAGAGAGTCTACTCTGCATCTTGCTTATTACATGGAAGGAAGACCGTGTCTTCAGGCAGGTTCAGGCCCTATACCTGGAGGCTAGATGGACTAATACCACAGTGTAACAATGAGTTTGATTGTAACAGGTTTTCTGTGCCAGAATCACTCTATCCATTGGTTGTCTCCTCCAGAAGCACCAAACAACCAGGAAAGCATGGCCCAATTCCTCAGGGAACAGCTGGATGAGAAACCCCAAAATACAAACTCTCCATCAGATCTGGGACTCGAGTTGCTGCTGTGCATTGCAGACCCCTGCCCCTGACCTCACCATAACAATCCCTCATTCTGTCCTCACTCCATCTTCATTCCTTCCCCTCCCCCCCACCCCCACACGCCAAAATAGAACAAACTTTACTGAAGCAAATCTGATTCTTCCCCCCCCCCCCCCCCCCCCCCCCCCCCCCAGCTCCCCTCCCCCCTCCCCCACTCCCCCCCCCCCCCCCCCCCCCCACCCCCAAAAAGGAACAACCTTTCCGGAAGCAATCCTGATTCTCCCCCCCCCCCCAGCCTTGAGCACTTTCCTAAGACCCTTCCCCTCTCCACCTACCCCCAGAGCTCAGCCCTCCCTGAATGGGCTGGGACACAATGGATAATCCTAAGGCACCTTTTACAACATTTACAAAACTACAGTATGCAGAGACCTTTCCCCAGCAGAGTCCCTGGGCACCATCTTCCTCCAGGCCAGGTCCTTTCCCACAAACTATCCCGTTGCTTCGGGCTAGGAGGCTTCCTGTTGGCAATGGCTTTGGGAAGAGGAGAAGACCTCAAAAGTGTTTTAATAATTGACTCCAATAGGGTTCGAAGCAGAAATCCCCAGCCCAAATATCTGTCTTCAACGAAAATCAATCAGCAACTGGAAGGACTGGTGGATTAAAAAAGAAACTCGCAAAAGGTCTGGATTACTTGCCCTCCAGGCTCCAAGGCAAGAGGCTGTCCAAGGAAGAGGGTGGCAATTGCCAAGAAGGCTTGAAGCATTGAAGGAACCAATCTGAGAAGCAGGGCAGGAGATGCAGAAGCTGTAGGTGCCTTGGTCACCAGTTCAGCCCATCAAAGAACAGGTGCTGGAGGGGCTTATGGGTGCAGCAGCCAACTGCCCAATGAGACTCATGCAGAGCAGGGTGGACGTGTGGCCCACCAGTGACCAGGGCTTGACCCAGTTCTAGGCCCCATGGAGCAAAGGTAGCAAAGCTCAGGAGAGACCCAGACCCAGGTGACAAACAGCAGGAGATCCCTCAGTTCTGGCCCCTACTTGCCTCTAGGGGCCTAGGATGGTCCCTTGAGCTATTTCCAGCATCCCCAGATGGAGCAACCTCCTGAGAGACCCCAAACTGGGCAGGGTTGGCTCATTGCCCCAAGTGAGCTTCCTTCCCTCCCACCTCCACCCCACCCCCCCTCGCAGGGCTCATCAGCTGCCAGTTCTGGCCTTGGTCCCCTGGTCCCTGTGACTTTAACAGGAGAGGAATAGTGATTGGGGGGAGGAGAGGGGGAAGGAAAGGACTGCAGAGAGGTTTGTTTTGCTGCCTGAAAAAGACAGTGAGGGAAAGAGAGAGAGAGAGAGAGAGAGTGTGTGTGTGTGTGTGTGTGTGTGTGTGTGTGTGTGTGTGTCTGTGTGTGTGTGTCTGTGGGGGGAGGGAAGATTCCTGGCAGTAAATGAAAACATGTGTAACACGAAAATTCCCTTAAATCCACTGGCCAGTGGGGAAAAAAAAAATAATAAAGGGTCTCTCTCTTACTGTGCCTCTATCTTTCTTTGTTCTCTCTCTGGCTCTCTGTGTCTCTCTCAATCTTTCTCTCTCTCTTGCCCCCCTCTCAGGGAATATATCCCCAAAGAGACAAGAGCAAACACCAGGAGTTTCAGCAAGGGTCCAGCCCCCAGGGTCAGGTTTGGCTCCTGGAGGTAAAGAGACCCATTCTCTGGTCCTGCCTCACTGAGGCTCTGGTGGGGGTAGGGGGATGGGGAGGGAAGTGACTCTTCCAGCAACAAGGGTGCAGGCAGGCAGTGGGACTTGGGAAGGGGGGCAGACCAGGCCAAATCCTTGGGACCAAGAGGAAGCCCCCCTCCCCGCCTCAGCCAGAGGCTCCTCAGACACAGGTTGGAGATAGTGTTAGAGTTCTGGCCTCAGGAAGGGGGTAGGGGTAGTTGAGCACAGAGCCTGTGACTCCTGGCAGGGAGTTCCCTAGTTCCCTTCCTTCAGGGAGAAGCAGGAGGAGCCACTGGCTGTGGGGGATGGGGAAGGAACAGGGCTTCAGAAGTTGCTAAAAATCTCTCGCTTCTTGTTCCAGTCCATCTGCGGTGCCCTCTTGTTGACTCGCTTTGCCCGGGCCTTCTCCTTGGCCTCTGCAGCGGTGGGGCTTAGGTGGAGCCCGCTCTCCTGGAATGGGTCCCTCTTGGCCATGTCATTGTCCTGTGGGGGCAGAGTCAAACCTAAGATGGAGCAGAGAGAGCCAAACCCCTGGGTCCTCCCGGGAGGCATCAACCTCCCCCTCTGCTGTCCTTACTTAATAGAAAAAGGGGAGGGAGTGAAGAAATAGACCACCTGGTTGCTGTTTATCAACATGGGATGTGCACCCACACAGAAGTTAAACACTCATCCTACAGCTGTCCATCTGCGTCATGCACTCCTCTGGGAGTAGGCACGTGCGCACCCACATACACAGACAAAGCACACAGGTAGGCTCCTGGCTCACCACAGCAAAGAGCTAAACCCTCCCTCTCAGATGATGGGTCACCCCAAATCTGCAGGAGGTGGGCAACTAGCCCTTCCCTCCATCTGGCTAACAGCAAAGGGCTCAATATATAATCAGCTCCCAATTTTCCAGGAACTGATGAACCAATCTGTAAATTATCTCCTATCATTTGATGGCTCAACATCAGAAATGGATATAATTTTATCAACAGAAATGACACTAAAGAAGATGCATTGCCATTTGCCTTATGCTCCCCTAATAACCTAGCAGCCTTGCCATCTGCCCAGCTGATGAACCCTTCTATTTATGCTATCTCCCTCTATTAGAATATGAGCCCCTTCCCCTAGAGCGGGGGCTATCTTATCTTTCTCTCTCTCTCTTTTTTTTTAAGGCAATTGGGGTTAAGTGACTTGCCCAGGGTCACACAGCTAGTAAGTGTCAAGTGTTTGGTCTGAGGCCGAATTTGAACTCAGGTCCTCCTGACTTCAGGGCCGGTGCTCTATCCACTGTGCCACCTAGCTGCTCCCTTATCTTTCTCTTCTTATCCCTAACTTAGCACAGTGCTTTGCATCCTGTACACACTTAATAAATGGTTTTTTTTATTCATTCATTCATCTGAGCTCTCTAATTCTTTACTACAACAATTTGTGGGTCAAGGTGGGGTTGCCAAAAAATCAGAGATTCTCAGAATTGAAAGAGACTTCAAAGGTCACCTAGTCCAACAAGAGTCTCCTCTAGAACATCTTTGCCAAGCAGTCATCCAGACCACAGAACTTTCTGCACGATGAAATAGTCCTTCTCATTGTTGGACAGCTCTGCAACCTTGCCCTCATCCATGTTCTCTTTTTAAGATATCTAGGGTCAGGTTATAGCATTTTTGCTAGCAGTTCTCATGGGCGAGGCCAATGGCTCAGGCTATACTGTATGTCTGGCTCGGTGTCCAACAGTCAAAACAGAAATGCAAAGAGCAGAAGTGAGACAGAGGGATGTGGATGGATGAAGGGAAGGAGGGGCCCAGATTGATGATGGGAAGAAGGACTGATAAAGAGAAGTGCTCACAAAGGGAGGATCAGGGTCAGGGGGGAGAGTTTAGTTTTGGGGATGGGGAACAGGGGATGAGTCTGAAAGATGAAAGAAAAGGAGGGTCTCATAGGAAGAAAGTCCAGGGGTCAGTCAGGGTGAGGGTCACTAGGGAAGGGAGATTATTTAGAAAGAGAAGCTGGGGACAGTAGAGGCTGTGGTGATTCTGAGGCGATCAGCTGGTCAGTTACCTCTGTGTCCTTGTCCACATTCTGCAGGTCACTCCGAGATGAGCAAGTCGAGCCACCATTGATCTGGGGAATCAGGGGGTTAATCACTCTCTGGCCTTTCCTTGAGTCCCGAGAGTCAATGTTAAGTGTGATTTCCCCAAAAACACACATACACCAAAGCCCTGCCCTCATAAAGGCCCCCTAGGAGGTAACTCTAGAGATAGTTGCCTCCATTCCATGGAGAGGAAAGGTGAAGTCATACAGGGGAAATCTGGACTGAAGCAAGGGTCAGCATCCAGCCTCTCATCACTTGTCCCATGGCATATTCAAGTGGGGTTGAAGCCCCAAAAAACTATGGTACCCAGGTGCCCAGTGTCTTAGACCTGGTATTCATCTCCTTTCCCTTCTCCCTTTACCAGATGCATTCCTCCTGGGTCTTTGGTCACTTAGTTGCTCACCTGAGGTGGGCTCATTCCATTGGTAATCAAGGAAGGCAGTGGACCTGCAGAGGCCAAAAAGAACCCATCATTGAAATGGGGTTAGCCTTGGGAGGCTCAGAACATGATCCCTACCCAAACCACTGTAGTGTCTCACCTATGGGGAACCATTCCCCAAATATCAGAAATCCCTAGGATAGAAAGAAATGGTTGGACATTCTCAGGATGGAAAAGGTCAGTTCCTGGGGGTTTCTAAGGTGGACAATGCAAAAAGCCTCCAGGTTAGATAAGGCCAGGGTTGAGGGCACACAGAATGGATGGAGCTAAGTATCCCCAGGGCAGATGGGATGAAGGATGCTCTTAGAATCGATGGGGCCAAGTTTACCCTAAATAGACAGGACTGGTGGTACCCATGAGAGATGATAACAGGCCAGGGATGGGTTCCCTGGTTCTTTTCTGGACTGTGCTCTCCTCCACATACCCGTGACATGTTCTTCAGTAGGGACCACCCGTAGTCTCTTGAAGTAGGCATCAGTCTCAGGGTCAACCACAAGCAGCCGTGCTTCATCTTCATAGGCCTTGATGCTGGACACAACTTCAGCATGACGAAGTCCCTCCACATTTCGGCCATTTACCTGTGGGACCAGGGATGAGGGTGAGGCCAGATTTGGGGGGTGAATAAGAAGGTAGGGGCCTTAAACAGAGAGCTTCTACAGTCAAGTCAATCACCTTCAGCGCTACAGTTAGGGATATTAGGTCATAACTCCTCCCCCTGAGGTAAAGGCAGGGGAGAGCCTGGGAATTAGGGGACAGAGATATCAGGTGAGAAGAGTCAGGGTTCCTACCCTACTTCCCTCTTTATCTCCATCCCCTGTTTCCTCCCCCATCCCCAGCACCAAGTTTGACATCAAATATTTATTAGAGCTACCAACGCAGCCAAGGCTATGACTAATGCCACACAGCTCAGGTTCCTAACACAGCAGGTCAGCCTCCCCCTCCCCCAGCTCTGAGCATAGAAACTCAGAGATGTGGGCCCATGCACAAACATACACACAGAGACAAACCCACAGGAACACACATGATTCTGGATGCATAGAAAGACATAAACACAGTCCATCAGCTCCCCTTGAGCTCACCTCGATTAACCGATCCTGGGCTCGAAGACCAGAGTGGGCAGCAGGTGACCCAGCATCCACAGCACGAATGTACTGTCCAGGCCGGGACTTCTCACTATGCAGATTGAAGCCATAGCCATTGGGGCCTTTGTGGAGGTGGCAGAGACGTGGGCGCAGCTCCCGGGGAGTTCCAGGCACATCCTGAGAAAAGATAGATGGGCAGGTAGGGAAGCCTTGCGCATAGCCTCAGACACAGGTCAGACCCAGGCACTCTCCAGACCCTGCACCTCACCCCACAGCTCAGGTCCACATCCCTTTAGGTCTTCCATGGCTCAGAGTTATGGTCTCTGAAGCTACCTAACTATACCTATAGCCCAGACCCACAAGACTCCACCTACCTCTGACTTTTCAGATACATGCTTTCCCATGGGATAGGTAGATAGGCATCTATCTACATCCCACTCCACTCCCAATGGCTGAGAACAACAGATAGGCGCCAGCTCAACCTGAAGACTATCCTTCAGGTCTCTATCCCTATCCCACCCCACCACAACAAACACACACACACACACACACACATACACTCTGGAGGCCAAACACCCAACACTTCTTTTGCCCCGGCCCTCTTCCCTTCAAAGGGTCAATAGAGATCTCACCTCCCTTTTTGTTATCCTAGTCATGCCCTGGTCCCACCCCCACCTCACTTCTTCCTGCCAGAAATCCCCTGGTACCAGCATGACCTCTCCTCCAGCTGTCAACATCTGGGTGCCTCCACAGCACACACACCAGGACAACTATGCTAAGGAACGCAGGGTCACAGGCCAGGGCAAGGGGAGGGAGGGATGCCTCTTGAACTCAGTGTTTTGTGGCTTTTCCTGGGTTCAGCTCTTTCTCCCAAATCCAGCAAAATTTCCTCCACCTCTATTAGCTCCCTGCCTCATCCCCAGATACTGGCTCTTAATAAGATAAAATGTCAGTTCTAAGCATTTGTCCATCTGTCCACGTTCATGTGGGTAAGGAAAAACTGTATGTTTCTATGTCTGTGATGGCACAAAGTGTTGTAAATAGTCCTCAGCTCTTGCTCTCTCCCCTCTCAGAGCCTCCCTTTCCCCAGGTTTAAAATAAGGGGGATGAACTAGATGGTCTGTGTATCTCTTCTGGCTTTGACATTCTACAGACCCATGATCCATGTGTATATGTGTAAGTGGATCCATGTCTGTCTTTGTTCATGTGTGTTGGAGGGAGTCATTCTGGGATCCTGGCTCTGGCCCTTTGGTTGTTTTTTCTTAACATTCCAACAGCAGACCGAGCCTCCCCCAGCTGACTTAAGCTGGTCAGCTCCCCGCACCCTGCCCCCCACACACAGACCTCACCACCACCACAAGCCTAGAGTCAGAAAAATGTGAGGAAGAGAGGAGCTCTAAGCCTCCTCCCTCAAGACCCTCTGAGTTCCCCCAGCCTCTGGCCCTGACCACTCCCAGCTGCTCCTGCCACCAGAATCAGCATCAACCCCTGCCTTGCTAAGACCCTAGTCTATCAGATCCCATGACGGGATCTGGAGCCCAGCTCATCCAAAACAATGGAGAATCCAAAAATCATAACTGGACACACATCATGAAAGTCTTATGCATCAGATCATCAGATTTACCTTCCTCATTATGCTTGGCTTCCTTAGACAGATGGACCAACGAGATGGCGGTCAGGGGGAGGGAGGCCTGGAGTACTCAGAGACTGAGGGATGCCATTTCAAGGGATGCAGCATTTAGTTCAGAGCATCAAGAGTTCAGGATGCCACCCAGACTTTGGAAGGCCCCCCAGGAAAGGGGGGTCAGGGCCTCCCCCTTCCCACACCCTGGCTGCCCAAGCAGGCAACAATGGCCTCAGTTAGTTCAGAGGCAGCAAGGCAGGTGCTGAATTAAACATCGAGGTGTGGCCAGGAGACAGGGCCAGGGCAGCCCAGGTGCTCCGATTTCTCAGGCCAACTGGAGGGGGCTGGGCAGTGAACAGGCAGAAAGAGGTGGGGAATATATCCCCAGCCCCTCCCTGCCAAGTCACACACAGAGAAATTGAGGCTCAGAAAAAGAGGGACGGGGCTCACTGGCCCAGCCTGGAAGAAGAACAGTGGAATTTTAATTTCCTTGTCTGTAAAGCTGAGGGCTGAGCTATGTGGAAGCTATGGTCCATAAGGCTATACACACTCTCCTTTCTCAGTCATCAATCCAGAATAACAGCAACTCATATTCCTTTACAACTTTTAAGGCTTACAAAACATTTTCTTCACATCAGCCTTGTAAAATAGGGATTGTAAAACAGGTATAGTAGGTTAATGCCTGCTGCCCATATTACAGATAGGGAACTGAGATTCAATGAGGTTAACTAAAATGTAATAAAAACATTTATCAAAGTGCCCAGCTTGTATAAGGCACTGCGCTAAGCTCGAAGAATATGCCACTAAATGAATACATTATACTAATTAACTGACTTGCCCAAGGTCACCCCGCTAGTGAGTGCCTGGATCGGCAGTTAGAGCTCGTGTTCTTTCCATTAGCCCACACTGCTCCTGAAGGTGGGAGAATGAGATTCTCCAGCTGCTGCTAAAAGAAGGGGGTTGAGTCACTGCTAGGCACAGACAACCGAGGAAGTCAAAGCTAGGGAGAAAGGCTCCATATACAATCAAAATATTTATAGCAGCACTTTCTGTAGTAGCAAAGAACTGGAAACAAAGTAGATGCCCATTAACCAGGGAGCCGCTAAACAAACTGTGGCATATGAATGTAACAGAATGTTACAGTACTGTAAGAAATGACGAGGGGCAGTTAGGTGGCACAGTGGATAGAGTTCTGGCCTTGGAGTCAGGAGGACCTGAGTTCAAATTTGACCTCAGACACTTGACATTTACTAGCTGTATGACCCAGGGCAAGTCACTTAACCCCAATTGCCTCACCAAAAAGAAAAAAGAAAAAAGAAAAAGAAATGACGAATACAACAAATACCAAGAAGAATCATGGGAAGACTGATAAGAACTGATGCAAAGTGCAGTCAACAACCAGGGAAACAATAAACATAATGATACAATAATGTAAGTCAGAAGAAAAAAATCAAAACTAAACACTGTAACTATAATGAACCAAATTTAGCATTGAAGATGAGCTAGGAGCATGCTCCTCCCTTCCTTCCTCCCTCCTTCACAGAGGTGGGGGACTACAGGTATGGAACACCACATATACTATCAAACTCAATTGATTTGTTGGTTAATTACCATTTTTTCCTTTTTTTTCTTTTTTCTTTTTTTACTTTAAGTGTTAGCTCTCTGAAAGGGGGGACAGATATATTGAGAAATGAAGTTGATATAAAAACAAAGATATCAATGTACACATATATACATATACACACATATGTACACACACACATATATGTGTATGTATATATATACATATACATATGTATGTATATATATATATATATACACACACATATGAGGGTAGAGATACAGAAAATTCTGATCAAGGCTTGTGGCATAAAGCCATACCTCAAAGGTTTTTTAGAGAATCCCAGACACCCATCAACACAAACACACGTGTTCATGGACAAATAGACACCCAGAGAAATACACCCGCACCCATGCAAGCACCTGTATTGCAAGCAGATACTTCACAACTTCAGGGCAACTTAATGCTGCACGGTAACTATTCCAAATCTTTCTTTAGTCTACCACTCCACCCTCCCTGCCCCACCTACTCTTTCAAGGCTGAAAGGTCCCTTGGTCCCTCAAAGTTTCTCCATAGCTTCACCCAGACTAGTGGCAGCTTGGTGGGGTGGGAAGACCTTGGGCAAGTCACTAAACTTCTATGGGCCTCAGTTTCTTCATCTGTAAAAATGAGAGGTTGAGAGTAGATGGACCTCTGAAATCCCAACATTATCCTATGATCTTTTCTCCTAACTTCTGCTCTCAAGGTTAATTATTCATCCCATCCACCTCTTCCCTCTTTTCTAGGACCTTACTCCATCAATTATTTCCTTTCTCTTCTGCATCTTCAATTCCTTCCTCTCCATTGGCTCCTTCCTTTCTGCCTATAAACACACTCATGTTGTTCCTGTTAGAAAAAAAAATCTGCATCCTCTATTACTCTCACCCCATTTCCTTCTCCTCCCTTTTGTGGCCAAGTATCTCAAGAGTCATTTACACTGTTCTGCTCGCTCACTACCTGCCTGCTTACTCACTCCTCACCACCCACTTACTCTTCAACTGCCTGGAATCTGGCTTTGATCCCTACCACTTGACTAAAGCTGCTCTCTTATGATAAGTACATAAGAGAGGCACAAAGTGCTTGGGTGTATTGAATAGAGAGTCAGCCTGGGAGTCAGTAAGCCCCGGGTTCAAGCCCAGCTTCAGACACATACTAATTGTGTGACCAAGAGCTGGTTAACTTCCCAGCTTGCCTCCCAGGCAAGTCTCTAAATATAAATTACAGATAGTTTGTTGATCTACATCTCTGGAAGAAGTTATGACAGCAGGAGTTCCTTACATTGTTGAAATTCTAGGTCCACATTTGACCTCAGAAAAGTGCTACAGGAGCACAAGAGAGAGATGCAGCACAGAATAGCAAAGTTAGTATGAGATAGGATGTGGTCTCATGAGACCTGGGTTCTACTGCCACCTCTGCCATGTACTGTGTGACCTTGGACAAGGCTCTTAACTTCACATAATCTCCTTTCTTTAAATGTGAAGTGAAGATAACAATACTTCCTTTATCTACCTCAAAAGGCTAGTGTATGAGGAAATATCTTTAAGGGTTATATAAATGTCAGCTATTATTGTTATTCAACTAGGCCTCAGTTAATGGAATGATGAATCTCATGAAGTGGTTACATGTATTTGAATTTGCACTATCCAAAGTTATACATGTATAAAATGGTTCCAGTCCAATGAAAATATGCAGTACAAATTTGAATAATGTGACCACTTCACAGGATTCATTAAGATTCAAAATTTATATTAATTGGGACCTAGCTGTAATTATTTGGGGGGAGGGGCAGGTCAAGGAGAGGTGCCAAGAAAAATTTCAAGGAGAATATAATGCCTGAGTTAGTACTTAGAGAATCAAAGAGTTTTGATAGATGAAAAGGAAGGGCCAAAGAGGATATTTCAAGTAGACAGAAAGACACTAATGAGTGATATTGAGGGAAATGTTCAAGGAATA